TGCTGATTTTTTTTTTTTTTTTGGTTTTTCGAGACAGGGTTTCTCTGTATAGCCCGGGCTGTCCTGGAACTCACTCTGTAGACCAGGCTGGCCTCGAACTCAGAAATCCGCCTGCCTCTGCCTCCCGAGTGCTGGGATTAAAGGCGTGCGCCACCACCGCCCGGCTTGATGCTGATTTTATAACAGTACTGGTATTCATAGCTGTACATCTGAGCTAACTGTAGAATGGTTTCATAAAAGCTCCTTAGGTATTTCCACTGTCCTAGTTTCACTTCTGTTGCTGCAATAAAATACCTGGGTAAAAAAGGAACACAGGGAAGAGGGCTTATTGTTAGCTCGCAGCTCCAGGTTACAGTTTATCATCTAGAGGAAGTCAAGACAGGAACTCAGGACAGCTGGTCATATCCACGGTGAGCAGCAGAGAGATAAAGTCTGCTTGTGCTCAGCCCAGTGTATGGGTCTTCTCCCTTTGGTGGAATCAAGACTATACTCTACAGAGATGCCATCAGGCCAACCTGATCTAGGTAGCCACTCATGGAGACTCTCTTCTTAAGTGATTCCACACTGTGTCAATATGGTGGTTTCAATGAGAATAGTCTCATAGGTTCATAGGTTTGAATACTGGATCCCAGTTGGTGGCCTTGTTGGAAGAAGTATGTCATAGGGGCAGTGACTTAAGGCTTCAAAAGACTCTCACCATCCCCAGTACCTTCTTTACCCCCCACTCCACTCCTGTGTGTGTGTGTGTGTTTGTGTGTGTATGCGTGTGTGTGTAAGTGTGTGTGTGTTCTGTTTGTGGATCAGGTGTGAGTGCTCTAGCACCATGCCTGACCAATTGCCACTATGCTCCCTGCCCTGATGGTGATAAATTTCTATTCGTCTAGAGCCATAAGCACCAAATAAACCCTTCCTGCTGTAAGTTGCTTTGGTCACAGTATTTTATCACAGCAATGGAAAAGTAACCAACGCAGTCAAGTTCACAATTAAAAGGAACCATCACAGACAGGTGGAAGTAATCCATCCTTCTTGCTGTTCCCCTTCAAGTTGAAAGGAAGTAAGCCAGGCAGCTTGGCCTGTGAACTAGAGTATAAACTGAGGCTTGGCTGACTGTAGCAGTTGAGGTATATGTCCCCCTGAACACTGGGTCCCTTAGAAGGGAAGAAGACAAAGCCTGCTAGATAGCTTGGTTTTGTCAGAACAATGAGCAGATTCTGTGTCATAATCATGGAAGCTACACACTGAGAGAAGGGTCTCATTTTGCCACTGAGGATGCTGATGTAGCAGTCCATCCTGGTTCAAATAAGGAACTGGATCAAGTAAATGAAACTGGCTAATAGATAAATCAGGGTTACTTCACTCGCCTGAGTTGTACACCTTTCTTGCTGGCACCCCCTATATTTCTAAGTGTCTTTTTGGAGGAGTTACTCATATTTAAATGTCACTTGCATTAAGAACTCTGTCCTACATGGTCATTCAGAACCCTATGTGTTAGAATGAGCTGAGTCCCTGGATAAGAGTCATCAACGTCTGCATCTGCCCTTTATCACTAACTTTTGTGAGGATAGTTTTCTTTTCTTCTTTATATAATAATAATAATAATAATAATAATGGAATAACAATAATAAATAACAACAACAATAAAAATAATATGTGTGTGTATATATGTGTCTGTCTGTCACGGCACATCCATGATGAGTTGAGAATGACACTGTGGAATTCTTTATCTCCTTTACTTAGGTTCCAGGGCAGCACTTAGGTTTCCATGTTTGAATGACAAGCTCACCGAGCCATATACCCATCCTTAAAGTGAATACAATAAAACATGAGCACATTACACTCTCTGCAGTGAGGACAAGTCAAAGTTAAGGTTCCAGACGCTGGGGTCCCAGGTGAGGACTGGTCCTGACCCATCCCTGCTTTTAACATTTTGATTCTGAAAGTGACATCCCACAAGGTTGCTTGTTTTTTTTTGGGGGGGGGGGAAGTCGACCACTTACTGCCTGCCCTCTTTGCCTCTGGAAGAGGAAGCCGAGCCATGCTGTGTTGGCCACTCTGAGTGCCGAGCACTTCCATGTGACAAGTGCACTATAGAACCTGTGCACCTGAGCCGGGCTGTCCCTCTGTTCCCCTTTCACATGGTGCAGGAGATGAAAGTGTTGAAAAACTGAGCAAAGGACCCACTGTCTGCCACACAACACTCAAGTAATGAAGCTGGGATGCCAAGGCCAGATGTCTGGTCATATTGTTGAATCTCTTACTTTGAGAGCAACTAGGGTCCACTCTAAGTGTGGTTGGGGGAAATGATGGTTCGATTTGATCCAAGTTTGGCTCTACATTGACAGCCATTTTTTTTTATTACAGCATAGAAACAGAATGGGGTGAAGGCTGCAATCTGAGCAGGTACATACCTCGCTCTCTCTCACCCTCAGAGTGCTCTCAGCATTGCAGGAGGCAAAGGTAAGATAATAGACACAGAGAACACATGGCATCCTTACAGAGCACAGGGCCACATGATTCCACAGAAGTCCACATAGAAGACATGAACCTTAGAACACCAAACAAGGATGTAAGTCCCAACGCCTGTGAGCTACTGGAATGAGAAATGTACTCAGAGCCTGACAAACTACACATTTAGGGCTCCCCAGGAACAGTTCTGACTTAGAGCATAGGCACTATGTGTCACAGGCATTAGAGCTTAGTAGCTCGCCAAGCCAAGAACTGGGACTGGGCTGGATAAACCTCATCATGTTTAATATGCCATCTCCGAGCAGGTAGCAATAGAATATAGGCAGACATTGGCCCAATCTTGAGATGAGGATCCTAGGGAAGAATCCACAATGTCTGGTATGGAGACCTCAATAAATGCCAATCCATGTTGTCTATGAATTCTGAGGTAGGAGTGGAGTTAAGTTAAAAAGTAATCAGAACTCAGAGTCCCACAGCCTAGGCTTGAGGGTAGCCACCACTCCAGTGTGATGCTTGTACTCTATGAGGCATCTCTGTGACTCTAGGGAAGTAAGATGTCAGGAAGGTGAGCCCAGATCACCTCCTGTGGGGATTCACCACCATGACGTAAATGTACCCAACATGACTGACTCCATATCAGACATATGGCCCAAGACAGAACATACCTTTCAACATTCTAGATGTAGTTTAAAGGAGAAGGAAAGTGATGTGGTCCACATTACACAACTTGAGTGGACAGAAGAAATGGCCACACAAAAATACTCGCTGAAACAAAGTAAGTGGGCTTACTTGGAGATTCCTTCCCCTCTCTCTTTATTTTCTGTTGAAACATGCTTTGAGACTTTGTCTCAAATGACCTTGGAGCTCAGTAGTCAGCACAGCCTGGCACTGGGCATGGGCAGAACACACACATCCCTGCTTGTTGATGGTCTACCACTGTGAGTGTCCCAAGGCACTCCCAGAATCCTGTGGACACTGTTCAAAAGTGGCTGCTGCCAGGTCCCTCTGCCCCAGTGGCACTGTGGACAACAGCTAAATATGCTCTGGAAAATAGCAAGTACAAGCAAGCAGCTCGTTTGTCTTGTCTGGTGTGCTCCGGTAGAAAAGCCCAGTGTGCACAGTGCATCTTATTACAGTGCCAGTAGAGACAGGTCCCCTCTGAGGGCTGGCTCACTGTTACCAACCCCCTTTCTACAGGCTCTCTCTAGACATTTCCTGTCAGGTCCTTTTTTGTGTGTGTGTTCCCTAGTCCTGTGCTAACGAGGATCTTTGAAAAATGACTGGTATGGTAATGATCTACGGAACTTACCGGAGATAGCAATTAAACATGGTTAATGGCTGAGGTACATTGACACATTAAAAGGCCTGCAGACGGCGATTTATGAAGACAGCTCCGCCGCCTACTTGGTATCCAGTGGCTTTCTCTAGTCTCCGCTTAGGCAGGCTGGTTTCCTTTTGGAAAGATTTCCAGGCCTCTTTCAGTATCTCTAGTTACCAGGCCACCAAAAAAAGCACATTTCTGTTCATCCTGGTGTTACAGTGCTTCACTGTCCTGAGGTAGGCTTTGTTTTTATGAAGCTCATGTCAATAGTTTAATTTTCAGAAAAAAAAAAAAAGACAAAGAAGATGATATCCAAAGAGAAATTGTTAGGTCTTGAGGGATAGATGACTCAGTCAATAATGTTCTTCTTACACAAGCATGGAGGATCTGTGGTTTTGTGTCCATCCCCACATAAAATTCCAAGCTTGGTAGCAATTCTAGTTAGCTAGTAAATTACTATAACCAACAGGAACTTGGGAAGGAAAGGGTTCATTTCAGCTTACTGGTTATAGTCTATTATGAAGGGAAGTCAGAGTACTAGCTCAAAGAATCTGGAGGCAGAAACTCAAGCAGCAGCTGTGAACGGATGTTACTTACTGACTTAATTTTGGTGGCTCATTCAGCCTGCTTTTATATAAGACAACCGGACCAGGGATTGCACCACCCACAGTGGGCTGGGCCCTTCCATATCAATGCCCAACAGACAGAGACACTGGCCAATCAGATGGAGACAACTCTTCAGCTGAGTGAGATTTCCTTTTACCAGGTGACTATGGTTTGTGTCAAGTTCACAAAGCCTAGCCAGCAGTGTGTCACACATTTATCATCCTAGGGCTGGGGAGGCAGAGACAAGAGGCTTCCTGGGGTTTTTTGGTCAGCCAGTCTAGCTGTATTGGTGTGCCAACTCGACCTTCAGTGAAAGACTCTGTTTCAACAATAAGTTGGAGAGGTTGAAGAAGACAGAAGACATTGATCTCTTTCTCCTCCACATGCACAGGCACACATGTGACTGCTCATCCTCACACACAAGCATGTGTGCAACTTTGTACCCCCCCACATGCACACATACCAAGAGAAATTTTGGATTTAACATCAGAGATGACTTTTATAGGTGTATGAGATAATTTGATGACCATATTGGGATGAGTCACTAGGTTTCACTATCCTAATCTTTTCTCATTTCTGGCTATAACAAATATTCTGCTTCCTTCAGGGAAAAGAGAAGCCCCGTTCACCATTGGTCATGAGGTTCCAGGAGCATCACTTCCTTCATCCAGCACCCTACCTCTGTGACATGTGAAGAAACCAACCCATTTTCCAATGGCAACACTGAGTTCATGCACATGCACACTATAGTCTTCAGTGTCTGTGCTTCGCCTATCAGTTGGATCTGTTTTCTTTTACAGTTCTGGGTACTTTTCAAGACTCTATTGACCAAATCTGTAAAGAGTGTTGATAATCCAATTCATAAACTGGCTTTCTGAGCTATTGTGATGTCTTTTCCTCTCTTTGTGACCGAGAATGTCACAAAGAGACATTCTCTTGCCTTTGAAGATCCATGATGTTTTAAAATCATGAGACCCAAGGCAGAAGTGTCCAGGAACCAAGCCAAACTGTGACATTTTAAAGCCACGACTTGACTAGAGGGAATGAAGAAGAGGTGAAGATCCTTCTGTGCTAACCTATGAGTGCATTTGGACCATGAGAATAATGTGTCATTGGGCAAGACAACGAGTGGCTGCTTGTTGATGCCTCCTGGATTGTTATTTGGTGAGCTCTGCAATATGCACTCTGCTCACACACAGGGTCACAGAAGGCATGGGGGTCTTGAGTGTCCTCTTCCTAGGGGCATCAGTGAGCTAACACTATGTGCAAATGAGCCCCTCTGCTTCTGCTGGAACCATCATTCAACGGACAGAAAGGATCTCTGTGTTGGACTCGACTCTGATGCATCTTGTCTTCAGGGATGGAAAGTGTTCCCGCGGGAAGACCGAAGCTAAAGGAATCGCAGTATTTCTTCAGAGTCTGGATTATTCTGAACTACATGGAAATACGTTCAAGCCCAAGATGAGTGGCTCAAAGCATGGCTGTGAGTGAGTCAGCTGAAGACAGATTTGGATCATATTTTATTTAACCAGGAGGAATAAAATCCAGCATAGTAGATTTTAAGTTCTTGGGAAATATGTCCTGTCAATGCCGTTATTGAGAAGAAGGACAGAGAACACACTCTTCCAGACAAGGAAGAGAAGGAGATGTGGCCCTGGCTTTGTGAGCTGTGGCAGGGAGGGAACCAGCATGGGAGTGAAGGTCTCTGGAAGCTTCCAGACAAACAAGTGTGGAAATCATTTGTCAGATCCCTGAGAGTGGGTACTGCAGAAGACTTCCTATGTTTTTTTTTTTGGTGTGGATAAATACACATAACTATTTATTACTGCGACACAAGCAGGCTACAATATGCTTTATACATTTCTTTGGTTTTAACAATTGCAGTAGGAACTTTGCTCTTGCCCGAATCCTAAGAGGCGTGTTGTTGTCATTGTTGTTTATTTGTTTTTGCTTTTCTTTTCAAATAGAGACAAATAAGGGTGAGAAGGAAGAGTGTGGCCATAGCCTGGTTCTCTAGTGCATTGGGAAGAGGCAGCATACGGTCTCTAAAGGATGCAGAAGTGACAGGGGTACTCACTCAGAACCTTGAGGCCTCAGAGCCCATCAGGGAGTCCCCCCAGCCGTGGCTTACTCTGCTTCCATTCACTCAGTTGGCTTGGGCTTCCCTCCACCCATTCTCAGCAGTCAGTTATTAAGTGGGGAACAGTAACAAAAGCACATCTCAGCCATGGGGGCATTCTGTGTTTGTGGGCGTGGATGGAGGAAACCTCAGCATAGCCATTGTTAAGAAGCCCAGCAGCTGGCAGCTCTGGCCAGCTGCACCGGCTTCACAGGGGCTGCTCCCAAGCCGCTGCTTTTCCAGCCTCATTCAAGGCCAAGTGGGACCATGTGCGTGCTTGTTGTCTCATAGGTTTGTCGGGAAGTGGGAGGCCATCTAAAGGGCACACAGCCTACCTGGTTAGACTTCAATTTGCATTCAAAATGACTTGTCTCAAGGTCAGTTTTTCGTGGACTAGACTTTAGTTTTTTATATGTATGGATGTGTTGATGAGGATATGCTCATGTCTGTGTTAGTGCATGTGTGTATGTGAAGGAGGAGGAGGAGGAGGAGGAGGAGGAGGAGGAGGAGGAGGAGGAAGGGAGTGAGCATTTATTTATTCCTAAGTCTGTCTTTGGGAAGGATACTTTGTGGCTGGTACTGTCTCCTTGGGTTTCTCTGTGAATTAATATGCTTCAGGCACACACATGCAGAAACGCCCCATGCCCACCTCCATCCTGACGTGATAGATGGCAGGCTCGACCTGGGGCTCAGAAGGTCATATTGTGTTAACGAATGAATCTTGACCGGTCTTTCACTATAGCTGCAAGGAGCCCCACGGCTGGCTCCTCTTTCCTTTCCAACTCAGCCTCCCCCACCCTAAGCAGCAGCTTCCTTTGTTAAGGATCCAGAGGGCAGCTGCTGACTCTAGGGCTGGAGGGAGGAGTAGAGGAAAAAGCGGGTACAGGCCTGACCAGGCCTAGTGGCAGTTTGCCAGCTAACAGCCACCAACAAGCACCTCTGTTCCCTAGGTAGATTTTTCTTTTTCATGGATGCCATATATTTAGAGAAGAGGGTAGAATCTCAGAATTAATTGACCCCGCATAGATAGTATATACATTTTTAAAATTATCAACTGCCAATATCCTCTTAAAAGCCCACATTACATTACTTTAAACAGAGCTCTGGTGTCCTGCAATGTAGCAAGGTTGCTGCAAGGGAGCCTGGCTTTGTTATCCTCCATGTTTTCACTCCTTCAGCCCTGTCCAGTCTCTGCTCTGCCTGACTCAGCTGGAGCACACTGGCGAATTATGCATCTTGGGGGTGGGGAGAGAGAGAGAGAGAGAGAGAGAGAGAGAGAGAGAGAGAGAGAGAGAGAGAGAGAGAGAGAAAGAAAGAAAGAAAGAAAGAAAGAAAGAAAGAAAGAAAGAAAG